TATCCGGATTTCGGTAGAGACATACCCTTAGTATACATTCGAAGATTTGCACGACTTCCTGTTTTCCATAATGAAGAAAGCCTACTGCTTTTATTCCCGAAATCGGATTTCAAGAATTGGTTCCGCTGTGCGCTCGTTGCGAGATTACGGAGTATGCGACGAATTTCTTGATATTTGCCCTCGTCGTTTGCAGCAGGAACCTCCGGTAGTGCAAAAAATGTTGCTAATCGGAAGTCTATCCTTACCGGTTGGCAGATGTCAGGAATCATCAAATCACTTTGCCACTTCTTTGCGATGGGTTCTCCTTGTTAGTTACAACTGGGACGACTTGCATACGAAGCGACAATAACTAACCGTTTGGGGTGTACCTCTACCAAATTGAGTTGTAGTTGCCGATTCTTCTGTCTGCCATGCACCATGGAGACGTGATATCTCACTCCCGCACGAGATCTCATCCTTGTCTAGAATCGTCAATAAATTCGGCAGACCTATATCCGCTGGCATTTGTTCGGTGAATACACTCTCACTAGATTGTCTCTCGACAGCAAGAGAGGGGTCTTGGGGGGCACTCGGTTCCTCCAAAGCACTAATCAATGCTGAATCCTCCAGCCCCGGCAGGAAACCCGCGTCGAGATCGAAAGAGGATAAGTCTGTAACGTCTGTAACTAGCGAATGTTGGAGCATGGAAATGTCAACTGTATAGTTGCTCTGGTCGGACTTCGGGGGGGCATCGGCGTGTCCTTGCGGTGTCTGGCTTGCCTGGCCTTTGGCCGTGTTTCTTCTCTCTGACATATCACTAGAAGGAAAAGTACCTTGTCGACTATCATAGTCGCAAGTCTGCCCGCTTCGCTTGGTGGAATATTAACAACATTCTAATAAGAGATTTAGGCTGACATACGTTACACGAAGAGCAAGGCACTCCTCCACTGCCTGCCCTTCACATCAGTTCTTCTAAATCTGGGGCTGAATGGAAGTTTGCGGGGATGCGCACAGCGAATCTTTCTCATCTTGCAAGTTCGACATGCGCCGCGTCGACGTGTGAGGTGATTGGTACATTTCGTTGGGGTTTGAATGTGAGCCATCGTAGCGATGAGAATCAATGACCCGGCACTCGAGAGGCTCATGAATGGTATGAAGGTCACATATGAGGTGGTATCGAGATGTCGATACTGAGAACAAAGTATGAGATGTATCAAAAAAAGATCCAGGCTAACATTCAGAGTCCTACAGGTGGCCCCCAAGTTCAACACATCTCCCAGTTGCAGCTTATCGCCTAGCCTACCAAGTTGCCGTGATGTTAGGCGGAAGTCCTCACACCCTATTAGGTTCTCAACTTGATCGTGGTACGCAATTCACCATACAAGTAGCAGCAAAGTCCATGATATCTCATGCATTGAATGCTCTTCTAATTTCTCCCCCTTTTACTAACCAGCAACAAGCATACTCAACGATCAGCCTACCGACCTTCTCCAAGAATACATGGTGGTGAATGCCAATCCTTCGGCGATAGTTTCCTAATGTTGCAAGCGGCACTTCAGCTAGGGTTTGGCTTCGTGTAGGGGTTAAGCCCAGGTATCCTTGCCTTTCCCATGGGGATATAGATTGAATCACGAAAGTAGGGCCTGGCAATGCCGCGATTGGCTTCATTCTGTACGCACGCATTGAAGATCTAGCTGAGCTGCAATAATTTAGCGCTGAACTAAGGCTGCAATGCCGAGATCACAGAGATTAATCCACTTAACGGAAAATCCCTCTAATCTCATTGGCCCTTCCACTGAAGCCTGGGAAAAGGCTCTCGAGAGCATTGCTATATAGGCATGAAAGGAGGGTTGTTCCGGGCAGCACTTTGGCTGATCAACAGTGACTAACAGTACTGTTGTTCTGTGCTTGTGGCGATACGCCGACTCTATTAGACTTGCTTACAAAGTTATATGCCATGGACGAGAGGACTGTATTCACATTGACACAGGGGTATCCGAATCTTGTTACTATACTATGCTGCCAGCCGCTTCACCGGTTACGATCTTGCAGGGATGAGCCTTGCCTTGCGAACCTATCTTGTGAGCGGCAGATCCGAGGGCTAGATCCTGCTCGGAAATCGCGGGAGTACCCGCAGGCTACCCGTCCCTAAGGCAGTATAAGCGGATCCGATAGGCTAAGTCCTACTCGGAAATCGTGGCCAAGAAGGCGGTATAGAGTGGTCCGGTCGGCTGGGGATGCGGCCTGCGATGATCTCCTACGGAGAGTTACGACAAGGGTGGGGCTTCGTACGTATGCAATGTACGTACATATAGAATGAAGCATGTAGGTGTACTGTGTAGGTTCCATGAGGCCCTCAATATTATAATGAAAATTTTGTATGTCATATTGTATAAAATACGGGTTTGTATAGAAGCCGAGTTTACATACTTGATTATACACAAGGTGGGGTATTGCCCGGAGTGGTTAGCAGAGGAGGTGAAATGAGTGGTCACATAGAATTGAAGAAGATAACCCACACACCCACGAGAGAGCTGGCAACAGCATGCTCAAATCGATAGTTCCGACACGTCACCGCTCCGTTAACAGATCACGGTTTGACCGGTTCCGCTGTCAGCAAACCCTGCCAACTCATACCCTTTGTAGTTCTCGAGATCGCTTCACCCAGCTCTCTCTAGCTAGGTTACAGCTGATGTTTCAATTTTGGAAGAAAAAGACGTGTACCCCCACAAATAGCATTGCCGAGCTTTTAGCGCAAGAAGATCCTTGATTTTAACCTTTTTGACCTGTCAATTTAGTATGCTCAAATGTATATCTAAGTGTTACAAATATGCAATAGATCACAGGGGTTGGGGCGATCAAACTATAAATCCAAAGTATACCAAGAAGGTAATAGACCTTTATATAGTAATACCATTGGGCAATCCTCTGTCATTGTCAGTCTGTCACCAAGGACGCCCTAGGAATAACATCACCTTACCACAGGCGTCGAGATTACTGCTAACAAAAACGATCAGAGGGACTGGTCAAAAGGTATCCTCGCGGGGTTGCTGATCCGAACTTTAGGAAGTAGAGTACTAGCTTCCAGTTAACATTCGTAATGCTGGTCGATTTTAAAGGTGTCATTAGGTGCTACGTTCTTTCCGTCACGATGGACCGTTCGTATCTTGGCTCGTCTGCTTAATTCCCGGTTAGTAGCGCGGGGGATTCGTTACATCGGCTCTCGTCAATGGCCATGCGAATCCATGTCCCCGCGTCTGACATGTCAAGCAATTCGCACTATTAGAAACCGACCCTTGCCTGTGAGTAAAGACTCTCTTGGGTAAGCTTTCTTACTCAAAAGCCACCACGGCCCTCATCCAGAACTTCTAAAAACTGCGTCAGGGGCCCTTTCTAACGGGGGGTGACACTCTAAAACAACTAATAACACTAATGTTTGATTAGATTGTCACACTCGATCTGTAGAGAGTCTTGCACAATGGGGCGAGGACTCACCATTCAGGAACTCTCCTCTACAGAAACCGCAGGGCTTCAAGACCGACAGACGCATGATGATATCCCTCCCGATGGCGGGTTTGCAGCATGGACTCAAGTTGGTATGGGGCACCTCGTCATCTTTAATTGCTGGGGTTACATCACCTCGTAAGTTCATGCTATCCTCCTGGAAATTTCAATTCTTGCAACCCTAAACTCACATTCGAAGTTTCGGGTTCTTTCAGCAGTACTATGTCGAGATACTGAGCCGGTCTGCCTCAGACATCGCTTGGATTGGATCAATGCAAATGTTCCTACTCAACTTTGTCGGCGTCTTCTCAGGACGAACGGTCGACATGGGCTACTTTCGCCATTCTCTTGCCATTGGCTGTACGCTTCAAGTTGTCGGTGTTTTCGCGACAGCGTTTTCGACGCAATACTGGCAGTTGTTCCTGGCACAAGGCGTCTGCAGCGGCCTTGGACATGGATTACTCTTTGCGCCTTTGGTGTCTATCATACCAACCTATTTCAAGCGGAAGAGAGCATTCGCCGTATCCCTGGCGACTTGTGGAGCAGTAACAGGTGGTATGACATTCCCGACCATTGCGTACACCTGCATGTCGAGCCTGGGCTTCAGGTGGACGGTCCTCATCATGGGGTTTGTGATTACTTTCAACGCGATCATGATATTTAGTTTCACTAGGACTCGTGTGCCAGTGCGCAAACCTCGTTCACTCTTCGACCCGAGCGCTTTCAGGGAGCTATGGTATTCTTTGTTTGCCATAGGCTCCTTTCTCGCTCTCTGGGGCGTGTACTTTGCTTACTTCTATGTAAGTCGCGTCCTCGGAACAAATCTTCGAAAGTACATACGACGCTAAGGGAGAAATAGGTCGGCATATATGCACGTGAAGTATTGGGCTTCTCTATGAAACAATCGTTGCTGACCATAATTGTTATGAACGGAGTAGGGTTTTTGGGGAGAATCATTCCAGCTCTACTTGCAGATCGATACTTCGGTATCGTAAACACACTTATTCCAGCAATCGGAATCAGCGGTGTTCTTTTACTTGGTTGGGTTGGTGTATCTTCCGCTGGAGGTCTCTTTGGATGGGCAGTTATCTACGGCATAACGGCAAATGCCTCACAAAGTTTGGTTTCCACTGCGGTTGGTGACCTGAGTACGGATCCCACTCGTGTTGGTACAAGAGTTGGCATGGTATTAGGCGTAGTCAGTATCTCCTCCTTTACTGGACCGCCAATCGGGGGGCAGCTTACTGCTATCCACGGCGGTGATTACCTCTACGCACAACTGTTTTCGGGGCTGTCAATGGTGGCTGGGTGTCTAATGTATGTATTGGTGGCATTCAAGAGACCGAAAAAGTAGCCACATCAAATAGAGGACCTACTTCGTTCAGAAATTTGCAAAACTCGTGTAAAACCACCTAATCTGCTACGTTGTCTTGACCTCTTTCGGTATGAAACCCACAATTACCCTCAATACCTCTTGTTCGGACAACCCGATAAGTACGAAATTCGGCATGGATCTCTTACACAACGAAGCCCTGAAATGAGTTAGCTCCAAAAGCCAGATTCTGAGAATAGTCGTGCTCACCCCATTTGCGACAATATTCTGTCCATTAATCCAGCCTGCTGCAGGGCTTGCAAGAAAGGAAATGACCGAGGCGATATCCTCTGGCTGACCCAACTTATTGGATGGCGTTTGGCTGGCAATGTAGTTGATGAAACTTTCGGTCTTGCCCTTGCGGAAAAGTTCAGTATCCGTTGGGCCTGGAGAAACGGTGTTGACGGTGATGCCCCGGACTCCGAAGTCTTTGGCAAGGGCACGAGATAATTGTTCGATGGCCCCCTTGGTAGCGATATAGACCAGTGCGTCGGGCAAGACTGAGGATAGCCTCGTAAGTGATGAAGAGAGGAATATAATTCGGGAACCTGAATAGTAGAAGCTTTAAATTAGAGTGGATGCCACAATTATACAAGAAAAAACGTACCGGAAGTTAGATGTGGAGCGGCTGCTTTAACAAGAAATAACTGTCCCTTGACATTGGCGTTCATGTGGTCATCAAAAAACTGCTCATCGATTTCCGCCAACGGCTTGCTGCCCATGATTGCGGCATTCAAGACAATGATGTCGATTTTTCCATATGATTTCACTGTCTCATATAACAGCCTTTGACCACCAACGACCGTAGATACGTCTCCCTTGATAGCGATGGCCGCGCCTGCTCGTCTGGCATTAATGGAATCAACAAGTCTGCCGGCCGCCTGTGAGTTGGAAACGTAGTTGACAACGACGTTTGCACCATCCTCGGCAAAGCGTTTGGCGATTCCAGCACCGATGGATCGGGAAGAGCCTGTGACTAGCGCGACTTTGCCTGACAGAGATGTGGTCATAGTGACTTTGGAACATCAACCAATTCGCGAGTGCGTGTGACTGAATGGCTGTAATTGGGGTTGTAATCTCGGTTCCATAGAGAGACCTAGGGCCACCGTCAATATACAGTATAGCCAGGGACTGCGCCATAGCCAAGCCACAGTTTCGCTAACGGACTTGCCACAGTCAAGTCCTTGGAAATGCAGTCTAAAAGCCCGATCACAATAACAAGGAGGGCGGCCAACATGCTCCAGCCCTACCCTTGTGGTGACTCTCCGGTAGGAGTTCGGGGACTAGTTCCATGATTGCCGCGGACCGCACCCCCAGCCGACCGGATCACCCTCGGATCCAGTTTATACCACTTAGAAAGTTTGCCTAGAGGTAACCCCGATTTCCGAGTAGGACTTAGCCTATCGGATCCGCTTATACTGCCTTAAGGACGGGTAGCTTATGGGTACTCCCACGATTTCCGAGTGGGATCTAGCCCTCGGATCTACAGATGAGCCGCTGACAGGATAGGGTCGCGAGCCGGGGCTCGTCCCTGTGGGGTTGTGGCCGGTGAGACGGCTGGCGGCGCCGCGTAGCAAAATTCACCGCTGTCGTCATGAGGCATTATCCTAGTTCGTAATAGCGAGGTTGATCGCAATAGTAGAGACCGATTGGTCAAGGGTACGTGCGATAGCGAAGTCTAGAGCTGCGGAACGGCTCACTCATGCTCTGGAATGGTTTGTCTTGAGTGGCGGATGGGTGATGGCAGCTATACCAAGAGCTTGGCTTTGAGGTATCTTGGAGAAGCCTTCCATCCGCCGAAAAGATTATCGGTATTGCAATGAACTTAGCGGTCACCGGCACATTTTCTACAAGGTAGACCGCCGCTCATTATGAACAATGTGGTGGATCGAATGTGTCTATATAAACCGTGAGACAACCCCAGATGGACTCCCTGTTGAGAGTGCTACTTTCCAATCTTTCTTTCGCATCGCTATACTGCTACATCTGCTACAGAAGGTGTAATCTTTTTTGACTACAGACCCAGGCCAAGCTATTATAACTTACTATTTACAACAGATAATCTGTTTCTTGCCTTAGGCTTTTCTCAATCAGAATCATGTTGCAGAAACAACAGAAAATGCAGCCACGCCTAGAGCGTCTCGAGCAAATGCTCGGCGACCCTCTTTTCGAAAGTATACTCTGGGGCCACGAGTACGACCTAGGTGAACTGGACAACGGTCTTCGTGGTAGGATCGAGTCCGGACAATTCAAGAGGATCGTCTTCTATGGGATGGGATGCTCCTCGGTGGTGTCCGACATCGTCAAGGGCTTCTTTCTGACGGAGCACATCCCGATACACGTCCAGGTTATTAATGACTACGATCTCGACTGGTTTATCGACAGAAACACGATGAAAGAGGATTCCACGCTGGTGATCATTGTCTGCTATAGTGGCTGGTCGGTCGAGCCGTGCCTGTTCTTCGAGACCATGCGACAGATGACAGGCAACAAAAACTTGATAGTCCTATCTGGAGGCGGGAAGATTGCCTCTTTGTGCAAGGATCATGGCACGTCGCTGATCCAGTATAAGCTGAGACATGCCGACCGGGAATACCCCCTCTACCACGTTCAGCAATTCTTCTCGATATTCCTCGATTTGTTCCACAAGCTGAAGATCACGAAGTCCTCATATCAATCAGAGCTCGAGGCCTCGGTCAAGTTCTTGAAAGAGGAGTTCCACGACGGAACCCTCAAGCGAGCGGAGGCCATTGCTGAGAAGCTGAGGGGTAGCCGTATTGCCCTGCTGAGCACGGCGGACTGGTACGTCACCTTGCTCAAACAGACTACCATGTTCTTCAACGAAATCGCCATGGTTCCGACTCACCGAAATCTCCTGCACGAATTCTCCCACACTGAAGTGGCTGCCTATTCCGACCCGGCTACCAAGCAGGCCATCGTCACTTTCTGTGACTCGAACGCCGACGACTATACGAGGAACAAGATTCAGACTCTAGAAGGGCTGTTCGGTAGCAAAAAAGTCCCTCAGAACCGTAACATCGAGTTTGTCAATATCGACCTTGACCAGGACAATTTCTTCAAGAAGTTCTTCTTTGGGCACTTCTTTACAGTTTATATTGCGTATTACCTAGGGCAATACTCCGATGTGGAGGGGAGGGATTTGATCTCGATTGCCGCGAAGAACCCTTGGTGGAGCCAGCGCAACATCGAGCTGCACCCCAAGTGTATCGACATTCCTTCGGTTCTTGAGTCCTAGAGGACTGGCGACAACCTACACGAGCTAGCAGATTCGTAGGTGAATGGGTACTAGACAGTTTTTCTCTTTTCAACGAACGAAGTATAGATATTATTTGCGCTGTCTTTTTTTTTTAAAAAAAAAGAAAACAAGAAAAAAGAAAGAAGGGAAAATACTGTTTACACTAGATAGTTACCATCATTCTTTTTTTTTTTAACTATCTTCAGTATATAGTAATCACAGTCATTACTGTATTTGATATCAGAATTAGCGGCCTAACATCATAACCCCACTTTACTCTAACTGCCGTAGCACTTTATATTGTCACAGGAAGTTGGTCACCTTACCTCACTTGCTGTGCACCCTGCAGTACGGCGCCCTCGTGTGAGCGTACTGCGAATTGCCCGTGGACAGGCTTAACCACGTAGTGGTTAAGGTGACCCTTCTCACTGGCACTGTTGCGTGATATGAAAGTATGGTGATACCTAGTTGTTGATCCACTATGGACGTGTCGATGGTGTAGGTGGGCTATATAAAGGCCCTCCTGGCCAACGGCTTAGGCAACCATGACATACGTACTCTGGAGTACAGCCTTGGTGACCCTAGCTGCAAAAGTCACTCCTAGCGAGACATAGAGTTTGGCCGCGGTGTGACGCCTTGTCCTCCCAGGCATCATTCGGAAGGTTTGCTATAGACCCAAGACAGAATTGCTGTTACCGATCAGGATCGTTGCTACCTCGTGAGCTCTATCACCAACTTCTCAGCTCTTGGAGGCGGTATGTACATAGCGCTTCTGCACACGGCTTAGCAGCTCGATAGAGTCAGCCTCCGTAGCCACTTATGAAAACAGGGAGAGATTACGCTGGCAAGTGGCACGTCGAAGGAAGCTTGGAGGAACTACAAGCTAGCACACAGGAAACGCAGCTTTGTTGTTTATTTTCTGTTAGATGAGATATGTGCGCCGGGTCACCACTATCGTCTGACCAAAGAAACGGCGTCACGGTTCACATTTAAGCCTTTAAAATGGACATGTTTCACTGCGACAGGCAGGGGTAGTAGATCCTGAAACTCTTACGCATCAAAGGATACTTCTAAACCCTCATCATGTGCTGGCGTGTCTCAAACGTAGGCCCGGTATATGGCACCTTGGATATCGGCGGCGGTTCGGGCAGTTCCGCCACACATATATCGTTTCTCCGCTAGAAGCTATCAAGGCTCGGGCCGCGCACACTGGTGCTCATGTGCTGTAAGTCCTGAGCGACGACTGGCTCGCGGCCGCTGATTTTCATACCATTTATCTGATACCTGAAATTTGTCTTGTCTTCCTCAAGAAATTAGCGGCCGAGGGATTCGACGGACCGGCATTTGAGGCGAATTTGAACTCAGCAACAGTCGTCAACAGTATTGCAGAAATATGCCCAAATACTATTGTATTAACGCACTCGAGTGACATCAGCACTATGCCCTGGGTGACTCATCCTAATGTCACGGCTATTTTTGCTGCTCATCTGCCCGGCGAGGAATCCGGAAAATCCAGTCTGGATGTACTATGGGGGACGTTTACCCATCTGGACGACTTCCATATACAATACCCAGTCACGGAGGCGGATTATGGCTTCCTCGTTGTCGACCCCTCTAGTGTCGATGTCAACTCTCCAACAGCGTGGCAGTCGAATTTCACAGAAGGCTTATTGATCGACTATCGCTATTTTGATGCACTGAAAATCGAACCGCTCTATGAATTTGGATCTGGCCTCAGCTACACGACTTTCGAGGTTACCTCGGATCTATCAATTCAGCCATTAGTAGCCAATCCACATCCCACTATGGCGGTCTCTTCCAATTGCACGTCTGACAAACTCGGTGGCTTGTTTGTCTTTGAACTCGACTACTTGAGTCGAGTTTGAAAGCGATTTACTTTTCTTCGAGATAGCATGCAACAGACTGGGATTCACACTCGGGTTCACACTCAGCGTCGGCCCAACGCCCCCCAGTCTACTTGCCTCTGGATCGACAGATTGGCTAATTTCATGATATTATACATTTGGGAAATAGACAGGTACGAATACAATTAGAGCAACGGCATCCTGTCCGTTATGATAACTACCTAGCAAGCCCCACGAATAGGCCACAGCTCTTCTCGTCGATATGGCCTAGAAGGCCGTCCTCGACAAAACGAAGGTCATTGGCCAGACCGTCGCAATCCTAAAGACCTAACTACCATAATGACGGCTTCGCACACGAAAACGTTGACCAACGGCGACGAGCATCGAGACTGCGGCGCAGAGCTCGAGAAGGCGCGTTTTGTGCTGTTTAATTAATGATGCGAAACACTGTTGTTAAGCCATGCCTGATTTTGAGTTTCAGGTACCTATTTCAGTGATAAGATTAAGCTCTATTCGTGATTGCGGAGTCATTGATTGCATAGGTAAATTCCAGAAAGTACTTATCAAAGCACTAAACATGATTAAGGAAGGTACCTAGGAAGAGCTGTTTTGAAGAAACAAAGCCTTTTCTAAGTCAGGCTAGGGGTTTCAGGAACTTCTGCAAATGCTACATCACAATCATAGCGAGCCTCATCGCAGGCGTTGTATGGCTAGCGTTATCAAATCTTCTTCGAGTTACGGCGCTAAGATCGATGCGGGTTTACTGACGAATCAGCACCCTCTCAGTTTATCCACACAGGTAAGGTCAACACGTACATGTACAACATTACTACTTCACCTTTATCATTCACAGGATCAGACCATGAATACGAAGTACATAACCGAATATCAGGAGTCCCACTTCAAGTCACACCGTATTGCATCTGTCTGAGGGTTTTCAGTTGCCTTATTGAGACAATAGGGTTCCCTCCCCCAGAATATCACGGCTCTTCTCGTGATTACACTCTTTGACCCTTTACTCACCTTTCTCAGTTTCCTATTCTATAGCAGTATATGAATTAGTTGGACTATTACTAAGGACGCAGGGGTATTGACTCTGCTACCTTTGGCTACTATCTTCCTAGAGCATACGGATAAGCGGTCTAGTAGTCCCGTCTCCGAGAAAAATATCCAGCTGTTGTCTGCCGAGGCCAGCCGCTATGGTGAATATCTAGCGATGATATTAGTGCGGAATCATTGGAAAAATTTGAGCGGACAAAACTATATAATGTTGCTTGTTGCGACCCTTCCATAACGAGACAACATGAGATCGAGATTTCCCATCCCATCACAAGAAACTACCGCTCAGCTTCAGGTCTGGCAATGATGTATACACCGATCGGACTTGTCCTCTTGGCATTCTCCTGTTGTGCTACACTAGCAGAATCCTTTAATGTCAAGACGGAGCCTGAGTATGTTCCAGACGTGTACATGGTTCAGTTGCATGATGCCACTGCCCTTGGACGTCGGTCGGGGGATCATACTCACGTCGCATTTGCGAAACGTGCGCTTGAAAAGTCCATCCCATACGAAGTGAGATTCTCGTTCGTCGACACCGACCTCTTTTATGGCCTTTCCTTAAAACTCCTGAATAACGACTCTGTTGGCGCTATGCAAGCTCTCCCTGAAGTGGCAAACATGTGGCCTGTCCAACTCTTACCACGCCCCTTAGCTGCCATAGACGTGGCATCTACAAAGGGCCTCAGAAGTCTTCCTGAAGCTACTTCAGATCACTTTGAGAAGCGACAAAATGGCAGCAGTGGTTTGGACTATAATAGTCCTCATGCCATGACTGGTGTCGATCGCTTGCATAGCTCCGGCATCAAGGGTAAGGGAGTTAAGATTGGTATCTTGGATACGGGTGTTGACTACTATCATCCTGCTCTTGGCGGTTGCTTCGGTCCCGGTTGCAAGATCTCTTTTGGATACGACTTGGTTGGTGACGACTACAATGGTTATAACACTCCTGTACCTGATGATGATCCTTTGGCTACCTGTTCCACCGGAGGTCACGGAACCCACGTCACTGGTATGCAAGTCGCTCCTTATCACCACGATTCTCTCACTTACAGTGAAACAGGAATTATCGGAATGGAGGTTCCAGACGACTATCCACTGTTCAATGGGCTGGTCGGTGTCGCTCCTGAGGCTAGCATTGGAATGTACCGCGTCTTGGGCTGTAGCGGTGGCGTAGGCACCGATGTCCTTGTTGCTGGTATGGTGCGTGCTGCTGATGATGGCGTGGATGTCATCAGCATTTCCATAGGCGGGTATTCAGCCGTGGGAAACTCCCCGCACGATCCTTATCACACTCTTATCCAATCTCTCACTGACCGTGGGATTGCGGTAGTGGTGGCAGCTGGTAATGACGGCGCTACTAGCCCCTTTTCAATCGAGGCGCCTGGGAATAGTCCCGCCGCGATTGCCGTTGCATCGGTAGAGAACACTCTCTTCCAAGTCTTTGATATGATAGATTCCAACGGCGAAGTGATTCGTTATGGAAGTGTATATCCATTTCCTCTTAACAAAACCCTTTGGGCCCTTGTCGTTGGAGATGGAAGTGTACAGGGTGATTTTGGTTGCAGAGCCATCGATTTCGACGCCATTCAGGGAAATGTCACTGGAAGTAAGGAGGACTACGTCGTTATTGTAAAGCGTGGGCTTTGCGGACTTGCCTTGATCCAGTCAAATGCTGCTGCTGCTGGGTTCCGCAATGTTTTGACGTACCCGGACAAGGATGTTCTTGGCAATCCTTTTCTTCAAGGCTATGCCGCAGCTATCCCTGTCACCGATGACAACGGCGTCCCCTTAAATTTCGGCACTACAACAAACAACAAGATCTACGTGGGAGCAAAGAAGTCAACAGATTATTCTGTGAGGTTCACTGATGCCACTCCGGAATTAGTGAGGCAATCTTGGGGTGGACAGATGAATAACTTCAGCAGCGCAGGTATGATTGCACTCCACGGTCCCATCCGGCCCTCTACAATTATAATGACATGACTGATTCACCCTATGGTGCTACAGGTCCAGTATGGGATTTCAGCTTCAAACCTCAGATTGCTGCTCCTGGTGGCGAAATTCTGTCAAGCTGGCCGCTTTCTGCCCGGGGATGGGCTATTGCTCGTGGCACTTCCATGGCTACTCCATACCTTTCAGGGTGTTATGCCTTAGTCAAATCTCAGCTACCCGACTTATCAGTCACTGAAATCCTCACGCGCCTGCAAACAACCTCAAGGCCCATGACTCGAGCCACGCGAAGCGACCTTTCTCCAACAGTTCATCAAGGTGCGGGATTGGTCAATGCATACGACGCAATATTCTATCATTCCTTCGCCTCTCCTGGTCAACTCGAACTTGGACCTAGTGAAGTCCTTGCCGAGTCTCAAATCTCCATTGACATAACCAACCCTTCCAGCAAAGATGTAGAGTATACGCTCTCACATTCGCCCACTCCCGGCATGGCGCATTTCCCATATCCAGATGTACCGAACAACCAGGGCTTTTACAATCTTGCCTACCAGCGGCTAGACTCGTTACCGTTTGCCGCAAGAGTCGAGTTTCCTGCAGGTTCCACCGTTACAGTTCCTGCGGGAGGTACTCGAAAAATTCCTCTCAATATCCAACCACCACAGGGCCTTAACCCACTCCAAATTCCCATATACACTGGATTTATATCTATATCGTCCACTCGGCACGAGCAGCTTTCCATCCCATACATGGGTGTTGGCTACAATTATTCAGCCGCTGCGACTTTAGGGTCGGTGCCAGTGCCATTGAATATAAATGATTTTGCGAACTACTCGGCGTTGGGAGCTCCTCAAGTATTCGACTCTACAGGCTACGGTATTGGGAACTATATCAAGGTCGATCCCACGTCGCTAGGCATTCTCTACTCTACCCTACAGCCCGTATACATGTCACGAATGGACCTGGTCCGCGCAGAAATCGACTTCGAGCCGACCTACTACGGTTTCGACCCGAGTGCGCCGGTGAACTACACCAGGACAGCGACGCCCACGAACAGCGTTATCGCCGGGGTGGAGATTTTAGGGAACATTGTTATCGACGTTGCCGACGCACCGTACCTAGCATTGATAGAGACATGGCCCGATCCTCCTCTATACGACGCCGCTACATCCTTGCACTCGATTCCGATGTTGAAGGGTGGCTATCGTCTCCTGATTCAACAATTGAGATACGGAGGTGATTTTGATAATCGGGCGGACTGGACAAGTTGGCTCAGCGGTGTAATTGATGTTCCAACAGATTTCGTCTAGGGGCGGCACCTTATCCGTAACCAGAGCGCAAGGAAAATGTGGCGATCTTAGCGGTTCCTTTACGATGAAGGTGCCTGATTGCGAGGAATGAAAAATGTTCTTACTGTGGCTGTGGCACAGGGTAGAGGAGATTGTTCACATCTAAGAGGTTAAATAGCACATTTCAATCCATAAACTAGAAGTCTCAACTTTCCCCCCTTGGAAGCGCTCAGAAGTACCGAAGAGGTCTATTTGATAGCCTTAGTATTCAGCGTTACTCAGGGGTTTCCCTAGTACTATATGGACTCAAGCTATACTCTTTACACCTAAGTAGCTCTCTTAGATGATTGGATAGACTAGATTTTAACTCCCAAGTATATCTTTCAGTTGCTTTATAGGACTTCGAAGACAGGATGCAATTCTAATGATATCCACATCAAGCGGAAAATTGATGACCACCAAAGCGTCGAGTGTTCCTTCTTTCCAAGGTCGCTTATAACTATGCTAGGAAGCCATGTGAAGTTGCAACCGTACAGCCACGGCGCTTACAGGCCTCCCAAAAGGCGCGATGTAACTCCGCTATGCAAGAAACGATTAGCGCACCGACCGCCGCTTCACACACAGGGTACCATCACCAAAGTCCTAGCCTTTCTAAACCACAGCAGACTGTTTGCAATAAGCCGACTAGGAGGATCATATTCCATTGACTTTGAGGTTGATTACTGCTGGTCAAAATGGACACGTCCTCAACAGTTGCGACATGGCTGTCGCTTGCTGTCACAACGGCAGGCCTCGGTGGGTTGATATCTCAGGCCAGCGCCATTATTGACAACTTGGATCCTTTTCACTCCACTCGAACCGTTGAATATTTGGGCGTTTGGTTTCAGCGACAGTCGAAGTTCCCTTGGTGGCGCCTAGTGAAGCCGCCCCCGGACGGTCCAGTCATATCAGCCAATATCAATGAAGGCTTCTGCGGCGTCAATGTTCTCCATCTCACTCGGCTGCCGTCACCGCAGGCTGGCAAGGCTGGTTGGTCCATCATGCTGTCGATTTTCCATCCAACGGCTCCGATTCACCTTCAGCCGGCGACCTCTGATCTCGCCGAGAAAGGTGTAACCCGCACGGCTGAGCGTCCTGTGCAATTTGACAGCGATAAAGATTCCGTGGCATCAAGCAGTCCTGGTTGGGGTAATCTAGGTCATCGACAACTCATCCGCCATCAAAGTAGCGCCTGTATCACAATTTCTCGCACCACACTCCTCGTCGCCATGTGCGTCACTAATGCCCGGAAAACATTTCAATATGCTGATGCCGCCGGTTTTCGGGCCGGCTATGCCTCTTACAATGGCCAGTGGTACCTAACCTGGCCTATTGGGCAAGAGGCTATTGTCAAATTCGCGCCACATGATTCGCACAGCGCTTCCACAGATGTTTACCCAGCGAGCTTCGTGCAAAGGGTCGATCGCTGCGTTCAAATGCTGGCTGGCATAGTATCAGCTCGGGGGGCTGGCAGCGCCATGCAGGTAGCGTTCTGTGGCCGTAAGCCAGCGGGGCGGTACGAGCTCCAATATGTGGTGAAGGGCTTCCCAGGGGCTCACGGAAGCCGGCATCTTTTCAACATGATGGGAGGGAAAGGTTTACGAAGTTGACTTCATGTACGCACGACCCATCCATCCGGAGGAGGTAGCGGGGAAAACCTCAGACATGGTGCTTTCCCTGCCTAGCACTGACAAAGGAGGAGTTACGGAGATGGCTGTCAATTCAACAGAGGAGGAGATGATCAAGCACGCACTTGATTGTTTACCATGGGCCTCGCTATCATGGAGTATTCATCGAGGGATGAAGGATATTCTAACGGTGTATGCGAAGCCAGTCATGGATAGCTACCGTCACCAACTAGCTTTCACCCTAAAGCAGTTTGTCCATAATAACCCAGCGTCTCTCGATGCCCGTGGCTGGAACCCCAAGTTTGTGCGGGAAAGCATGGGGGATATGGCCGCTGGAGCAATACTAGCCGGGAGTGGTAACTCTGGTGACCTTGTCCGTGTTGTCACAGAGATTGTGCTAGCCATGGTTGGTGATTGGGGCTTCCCACGCTTGGACAATGTTAGGTTCTGGAGGAACGACCAGCGCCAACTAGACCTGGAAGGTGTTGTAGCGTTAACTAAGGTATTTGTGTTGGAATGGAGTAACGAATTTGATTATCAGCTTTACCATGAACTACCCATAACTATTCACTTTGCTTAGAAGACCTGCAATCATGAATATTCACCTATGGCTAAATAGAAAGAGGGTTTATACAGCGCCTTGGACCTCAAGTTTGATTTGACAACGCTTCGGCTTCGAAAATCAATCTGCGTAGGCTAGTTTCGTTATCATCGTTTGTAATAGCGCTATGATTAAGAAATATATAAAAGTCGGCAATCTGCATTAGTTAACACGTCCTTCATGTATAGTCCATCGTGTCCCGTGAATTTCAAGTTAAAAGACTCCCATGTTTAGATAGATTGAACAGTTGAGACATGACAATTAGCAGGACGAATATGCAAGCCTCCAGCCTTTAGACTCACACCCTCTATGTCTGTTTCCATGCCAGATTGAGCAGAGTCTCGACAGTAGTAGCCTTAATATCGGGGAAGATCTCATTCAGGGTTTTGTCAGCTTTGAAGTCAAAAGCCCCCTTTGCAGTCCATAAGCCGAATGTTGATAGAATCATCTGAAGCATTTCTTTGGGCACAAATTGATACATTGGCACATGAGAAGGGAGTTCTGTCACCTTCCCTTGCTCTAGAAGCTCGAGATTCTCATAAGTGACTTTGAACTTGGTGCCTGAGAAGATGCGATGTCAGTTTTCTTATGCACAATGCTTCAAAAGAATAACTTGTTATCCTACCCTTAGCAGCCTCTGCAAGGCGGACAAACTCATTCCAGGTCACCCTGTCACCGATGATATACGATATTGGATCCCACTTCTCGAGTGACAAGCTAGCCGCGGCGAATTTTGCGATATCAGCCGTCAGAGTGAAGATGATGGGCATATCTCCGGACCCAGGAATAGCCGCGACGTTGTGTTTTATATCGACTACGTCGGTCATGGGAGACATATATGTTTTGATATGTGGCATACCCCAGTAGTCAAGTATGAAACCATTGACAAAGCTCGTGTGCTCTAAATCGACAGTCTTGGCTAGTTCGGCCTGCGATAAACGTTTGTAAGCCACGAACGGAATGCGGCCCTCGTCCCTATTTTCATGGTACGTTAGCTCAAAAGCATAATAAATATTATTGCAAGGCGATCAATAGAGCTTACTCCTTAACATAGCTATCGGGATGAAACCCCCAGTCGCTAGGAATGAAACGCTTGGTCGTTTTGGACGCGTCGGCGGCACGAATGAGCTCAACCTCCTTGGGTGGACCGTTGAATGGCAGAAGACTCAATGCAGAGATAACAGTGTGAACATTGTGCTGCTCTAGAGTCTTAGTAACAGCATTGATGTTGCTGTAGTCGACCGCAAGAACCGTGACGTCGAGCTCTGCCTCCAGGGCGGGATTTGACTATTGACATTTAGCAACAGAAGTGATGCAGCAACAAGTCATGATATTTAACTTACCTGCCGGCTCAGAATCTTGACCTCATACTTTCCAGTAGCAATGATAGCGTCAACCAAAGCCCGACCAAGTCCTCCGGTGCCACCAGCAACAGCGACAACTGGCATGCTTGACATTTTGCAATCCAAGGAATAACTGATATGATATATTTCTTATCTGACTTACTCGTTTCTGGTTATTTGTCTTTCGTCTTCATCGATCTAGAAGGGGGATCTTTCCACTTATATACGCAGACATGTCTTAGACATTCTTGTACTAAGTACCTAAGTATCGGGTGTAAATTGCTGCCGATAGGCTCTATACTTGACTTGATTGGTTGATCGGTAGTAGTTTTCTTCCGATGCCGATGTCCAGCCCCTCGAGCGGACATGGTGATGGTCCACCCTTTGTAATCATCCAGGCAGGCTTCCTTCAATTACTTTATCAACGCCATACTCGTCATCATACATGAAACGCAATCATTTTCTCCACAGAACAGCTTTATTGAAAGTGGTGCTAGATTAGTAAGGATAGTATCGCATTCCTTGATCAACAATCATGTTACGAATCCGAGCCGATTACTGGTAACGCCTGAGTGTGTCAATCTCGATATGGGACACTAGTGGGATGGACTTCATCTTGTCATAATGTCCAGAGTAGAGAAAGTAAGTAATCCAAAGCTTTTCGGATGCTTCTCTGACTGTCTGATCAGGCTTGCGTGAGGTGCAAGACGAGGAAAACCCGCTGCGATGGGCTCACTCCTTCGTGCACTTTCTGCTCTCATCGCAGACTAGAATGTGTTTATCAGCCATTTCAGAAACGAAGGGGACTCGGGAAAAGGTCTAGGTTCTGTTATCACTTTGGATATCAAGCTGATTGTTTTCGTAGTAAGAGCCACGTTCAGGACCTAGAAAGCCGACTAAACAGGATGGAGGCATTGCTTCATCGCTCGACCGTGCCTGACACGCATTCTTCCCTCAGACATGACCAAGTACAGGATGTTCCCAACACAAATGCAAGGCCTAATATAGGGAACATGTCTATATTTCCGCAAACAACACGCATTGCAATCTCTCGAAACAACAATGATCCACGGGATAATAGATCTTTTGCTCAGACCTCAGAGTCATCTGAGTCGAGCTCGAGAAAGACTCTGGTCGCGTTAAACACCGAGGAAAATATCTCTTCGCTAATTGCATCTCGGGATACACGGTGCGAACTTGCCGGAAACAGCTCAGAACTGTATCACGGTGGGTTCAGAGCTCAACGGTTCTCTCCTATGATGAATGACGAAGCCATAAAGGAATTCTTGATTCCAATACTTGATGATATAAACTCTGTCTATCCTATTTTTGACTCGAGCGTCTTGCAAGCAACATTGACCCAGCCAGCTTCGAATGAGAATGTTGAACGCTGGGCTTACCTCAATGCCTTGCTTGGACTGGGTCATCTACACGGAGCCAGTAACGACCAGTATCTCGAGAGCCGCAGAACGGCCTGGGCATTTTTCAAAAATTCCTTTGCGTCTTTTCCACATTTGCTTGTTCATGGACGAAGCTTGCTCGCCATTGAAGCTGTGTTATGCATGGCATTGTTTTTAGGTCGATCAACTGATAAGCGTACCACATCTTTACTTGTCGCATCAGCTCTGAACATTTACTCGACACTTTTCTTTTCTACGGAGAACTTGGACTCGAAGTCTGATACAATCGCAATCCATCGAAAGAAAAAGGCCTTTTGGACTGCCTACATCCTCGACAAGAACTTGAGCCTTAACTGTGGGATCCTGCCGTCGTTTAACGACGATGAAGTGCGTCCAGATATTCCAGAGGAATTTTCGACACAACAACGAGAGTTCAGCATCTTCAGTCACAGATGCAATCTTGCTGTTATACAGTCGACAATTTATCAGAGGCTTTATAAGACTGCAAAGAAGAACCACAATCCTGCTGACCTGCTTGGATCCATCAATGTGATGGAAATTGGGCTTAAAATATGGAAAGATACTCTGCCTCACGGGGTCCGGCCTTACTTCGATGACATATCAACGGAAGTGGCCCTGCCATTCCATCTATTGAGTCTTCTTTTATCATACCACAACGCCATCGGTATGGCATTGCGCCCGGCTAAGCGAAGCAACTCCTGGATATCCTTCTCTAAACGATACACCATGGCGGCTGGGAATACACTGCGCTGGGCAAAGAACATTAATTCGTATTCATTTCCAGACATCTGGTAAGACTGAAATACGTATATGTTTAAATTGAAATTAACGATGAGATAGGAGTGTCTTGCCCTGGACGCTTTGTGCCGTTATCATGTTGTTGGAGAACATATTAGATAACCCTCATGAGACGCAGGCTGACGAGGATGCTGCGCTCCTAGGTGACTTTGTGCAAAATCTGACGAAGTCGAGTCAAGAAAACCAATACGATTTGAAAAGTCTGTTAAAAGGATGTCAAGCCATGGAAAGCATTGCGAGGGACGCAATCACCGCTGCGAGTCAGAGAGAAACCTATATCCCCAGTCAGAAAGTACAGGTAAGTGACCCATTAAATATTAATCTATATCTATCATAGCAATGCTTGCTAAGTAGTATTGACTAAGGCTATATCTTCTTTGTTGTCGTCGTGCGTCCATCCGATGTATTTGGCTCAAGGGTTGATGAGCAACGTTGTAACCCCCGACCACAGCATCACCATTGCATTCGCATCCATTCTCGGTTTTGACTGGGACACGAAAGCACCCTCTGGTCCATTTGGTTCTTGTATATTTTGGCCGGAAACGTATGGTTTCACATTCACATCTCCTCAAGATCGAGGTAATTATTCATAACCACTCCTCCGTCAGCATTTTAGTCTAGGGCGGTATTATAAGTAGAGAGGGCATGCATAGAAACATTGCTGTTTTGATCGATCTTGATCCATTGTTTGTAATCTAGAGGGTAGACATTTGACCTTCCCAGTTTTTTGGGTTACAAACTGCCGAAACGTTTTCAGATGTCTGTTTGGAGAAAGGTGTGTATTGATATCAACTGTAGCTTGCAATGTTACGAGCACGTTGAATTGCTACATTGAATTTCTAAGACGTGGCCTAAACATTAGTTGAAGTTGTAAAGATATGTACAAGTGAGTCCGGGTTATAGGCCGAGCCGTCGGTCCATTTCGCCATCTTTTCTGGTCCCCATGACAATGCCAACGATACTCTGGCGAACTCGTCAATCTCCGACATTCTCACGATACTGATGATCCCATCCGACAGTGTCGGCAGCTGCTGCAACAATAACGGCCCGTCCTCGTTACAAGTCTTGGCCCATGAGTATGCAGAGTCCGCGTCCCATATTCCCTTCCTCGCCGTGAATAGCAAGGTCCCGGGACACCCAGCCCAACCCTGTTGCAAAACTAGATAGACCGCCTGGACCCGTGTGGCCGTGACCCAAGTCCTTCTAGTACTCTCCGCTACAATCCATCTCTTCCAGCGCATGGTTGCTGGATCTTGGTTTGGCCTGAGAAAGTCTGTATCTGCGGCTGCGATATGCTGTCCGCCGCCCTCTCCAAAACCGGAGATAGTCTGCAAGAGCTGTCCGGCCCAGCAATCCAGCTGGCCAAGGTACTTCTCAGCCTGTGCACGCATTGAGATATCACCGTCGAAGAGGCAGATTATCTGATAGATCAATAGAGCTTGTACTTGAGACAGTTGTTCGACGACATGGCCGGGATAGTGAGCAGCCCGGTACTCTACCAACTGTGCAGCTCTCTCTTTGATGGTAGTAAAAGTGAGATTCTCGTTGCTCGAGTTCTTGAGAAAGTATGCTGTGAGAGATGTATAGGCATCTTGAATACAAGACGGAATCGAGTCTTGATAGAGTCGCGAGTGAATAAATGGATTCTGGCCTTCCAAAACCCACTGCCGAAGCCATTGCTGGACACTGCTAATATATTCTTTGAGGAAGGCATCACCTTGCAATTCGGGCTGCTGTACTCCTGGAGGCAGATGGGACAGCATCCATGATTCTTGAGAGAAGAACCACTCCTGTTCTACGACTGAAGTAGAAGACTCATCAATGCCCGCTTGTGAGGGTCGATTGTCGTCGATCGTTGTCGTGTTGACAAATACGAGATTATCCGGATCAAATTCATGAAAGTCTACATCAAGACTAGCATCGGAGGGTCTAGGAACATCTGGTGCATCATTGGTTTTGAGAAGCGAGCTTGCAGGAGGACTCTCTTCAGAGGCATAGACCTTTTTTACCCGCGGATATCGGCATTCTAAGTGATTTTCTCGACACCTGCGGCAGGACGGTGTCTGTTTGTTGCACTGTCTCTTAGCTCTCGCGCACGCGTGACAGGCTTTCCGCCGCCAGCCCTTGTCGCTTACAGCCGGCATCGAGATGTTGCAGCTTCAAAATGCGAACAGTGACAAAGGCCCAATTCGCTTAGCAAGACGCCGCTGAAGAAAAGCAGTTCGTGGGCAGATTGGCAATCCATCAAAAGCCGGCCAGTATGATTTGCGGAAATTCTTCCGCCGGGACCCACGAAGGCGAGCGAGAGATCTCCACTTTCACTTACACGGCGATACTACGGCGGACACGAATGGGAAAACAAGAAGCAACATTGCCTGTTGATGATGTGGTATTATCTAACACGGCGTGGCGTTGGAGTCTTGGGGCCTAGAAAGAAGTACAAATCATGAAATACATGATCGACGGGCGAATCACTAATATGAATAAAAAATGAACCAATATCTGTATTTGTATACCATATACAGAAGTAGCTCACACACAAGTATGTGTCCAGTGAAACACAATAATTGATGGGGTTGCCACAATTCAGGTCTTTCATCTTTCCAATTATAGAATATTATTACTTTGCTACATTTCTTGACAAGGGAACATGGCCGGTGAGCGGCGATGTCTCCGCATCGACACTAATTAGTATACCAACTACTTAAACAAACATGATTTTCGAATTATTTCATGATTTTATGTCCTCCAGCCTTCAAGCAATTCTCGTCTCTTACCACGGGTTCCAGTCACTTCACTAAAGGTACACCAACCTAGTATAGTGTGACGGACATGGGGTCCTCGACAGCACCGCAACTTATTTTCGGATGTGGTGGCCTCGGCAAT